GGGTCTCGCGAGATCGATCGTCGCAGAAGCGAGCTCAGACGACGATTTTTGCCAACAATACGTACGGCCTATAAAACTACAAGCAGATACCCCTCCGGTGCTTGGCTTCGTTATATTGGATTCTGCGAATCAATAAACCTCGCTTGCGTCACGACCATACCGATCCTAATGCAACGCTGTTGCAACGCGAGTTTAAACGCTCCTGCACAAAACAGGAGAATCTTCGACCGGGAACAGGCCTGTATTTTTGCAAAACGCGTATAAAAGACATTTTTACTTGTTTGTCCAAAGATCGAATATTCTTCGACTTCTCCAGGAACGAATTGTTTTTATTCGAGGTTCAAATCGACGTCGATTCAAGACTACAAACTCGCGGCAACGATCTACGATAATAGTTAAATAGCTGCTTCGATAAAATAAAATTGTCGAGTTGATGTAACATCAGGAACGAAAGTAAATATGACATGAAATAAAGGTCGCGACAGGCCACGAGCTACGTTGATCGTGATTAGGCGAGTCGGAGGAAAGCGATACGTTGAGCGATCGCAAGGTCACGGATGATTAATATTAAAATGCGATTCTGACGTACCAAATGTCACTGCTTTCACTATTGAGATTCGACGATGAAATGAATGTATGATGTAGTACCAGCATGTTTGACAGATCTTTCCTTCCGATACTTTGCCTCGATTATAATTGTAAAGTGGACATTTCCATTTGGCAAAGTTGGTTGCCGTCCAAAGAATAGTTATGACTTTGACAAAAAGAAATATGTATATATAAAATGTGTTTCACGGTATATTATTTGAAATAGCATTTTAATTATTCATCCGTGGTTGCTCGTAATGAACAAATATCACGGGTTGCTCGACGCGAGACTGTTGCCTACCGACAAGTATTCCGTTCCCAAATATTTGACTCGTGAATTAATAAACACGAGGTTAGGTATTAACGGGGTGCCATAAGCTACGACTCAACGTTAAAGCTTTCGTTTCAAAGGCGTCGTCCGCGCGTTCCTCTGTTTTCTTGCACTCTCTACGGTTTGTTGTTCTTTGTTCGGTTTCAACAAACACATGGGGATGGGGTGGATTAGCTCGAGTGAGCAGTTTCGGTCCGCACGGTTTTAATTAACGTCGCGTATTGTCGTGCTGGAATTCTGATACGATATTTATTCTTCCGGGGATGCCCGACCTTAACCTCGTGCTGCATGCATATTTTTTTACGTGTTGCTTTTTTAAGCTTTATACATATTCATTTACTTTGATTAACGTTTTCTCGACAAATATAATTTCATACTTGATGTATATCTCCAATAATCGAGTTACACGACGGTACTATTTTATACTTCGCCTTAACAGGTGAGAATTTATGAATCGAAGATCAGTTCCTCGATCGCATTGGTTTTTCACGGCGTATTTATTTTACTAATCCATTCTAGTTTGCAAAGTGAGTACGAACAAGTCGCCGATTACACCCCGCCCTCTCGTCTGTGATCCCCGTATCGTAAATCGGTTTCTTTCTCGTTAAGCGCGATAGTTTTTATACGCGGATGGTAAAACGCATAAGAATTTACACTGTAAATGAACCGATTGATAATTACAGATCACCGATGCAGAAGCGAACACCGATACTTTCGTTTCACGGTTTCCTATTTAGTCTCGCGCGCATCCATGACCACGGTATTGCGAACAACTCGTGCAAACTAATCTCGTAAACAAACAGAGGTTGGATCGTTTCGTAACCGAACCGATCGTACGGCGTCCGATAGCATTTTGAAACGCAACGCGCCGGTTGAAAAATTATACTTCAAACAAGGCAACCTTCGCCGCGATGCAATGCACGATAATAGCTTTCGCAACGATAATGGAAAGGTATCGCGCGTTACGAGCAAATCGTCGCGCCATAATTAGCAGAGGACACTAATTACGGCTGGGAGCGGAGTTCGTCTCCGCGTGCCGAGCGCGATTGATTTTATACTCAACTAAACCCCTTTCTCCCTGCAACCCCTTCCACGGCGCCATTTTTCCACGGGGTCTACGTTTAATCTCGCTTTCGTCGCGGAGAAACGCCAGGGGGTGGAATTTATCCCTGGGACGAATTCTCCGGGTCTTCAATAGGGGCGCATTAATTTTCGGCAGGCGCGAACGCGCGTGGAAAACGCTGCCCTCGTTAATTACCAAGAATTTGTCGCCTTCCCCGACGAGCCGCTCCCATATTTTACGTACAAATAATCTGCGAGGGTAGGCATTTCTGTAACTATGCTATTTCAGATAAGAAAAGTGAGAATTAAAAATATAACCTCGCGTTCGAACGCGTTTCGTCCGTTCCCGTCCGTCTATACATGACTCGAAACGAATTATGAAAAATTCCGTTCGCTTTAATTATTCGATGGACCGAAAATGATCGGTATCGTGCGGGTAGTCTCTGTTCGATACATGGACACGACGAGAACGAGACGAGGGTTGTCAGCAGGTCGCGTGTTTGCGCGAGCCTCGAAAGCTTTATTTACCAAGGGAGATTTTCCAATTAAATCGTGATTAATCCGTGCGACGAATGCTTAGGGACGAATGTTTACAGCATGAGGGAAATAAGTTGCTGGTACACAACGTCGAAAATCGATACATCGGCGAGGGGGTGGATTCGGGGTGGAGAGGAATCGACGATAATCCGATTTCGATGGCCTGCACTAGTTGGATAATTCGTTTGCCTCGTGCCACTCAATTCCGAGGAAGTGGGACGGACGAACACGGTCTATCTCCGTCTCTTGCGATCGCTGTACATCCATCTCCTGTCTCAGTCACTCTTTTCCCTCCGTTGATGGGACTATTGAATTCCGTTTTCCTTGACTCGCGTGACTCGAATCGCGAAAAAATTCAAACTGTGGAGAAAAAGAGATTTACGAGTGACGATATTATCGTCGAGAACAATTTCATGTTTGAGACGGTACGGGGACGTTCGCTGATAAAACTATTTACTTCCGATCGTTTACGAATCGCGCAACTGCGAGCTATTGGATGAAAAACGATTGGTTGACCTTAGACAAAACGGTATTTTATTACCCTTAAATTGTCTCATTAGCGTTTCCAAGGGTACGTGTTTCCCAGATTGAGAATCGTTGGTTTAGACGGGTCACGAGTCGGTACGACTCAAGGTACAGAAATACTATGCGTTTAATGGAGACTGCTAAAAATTGGAGAATTACCTAATCAAATAACGTCGTTCGCCGGAAATATCGAACGTTGCGAAATTGCTTTGTTCGATAAAGTAATCAACGGTGATGTTTAATGGCTCTGCTAGAACTGATATAGTTTAATGCTTCTTTCATCGCAATAAAACAAAACCTCTACGACGCGAATTCTCTGCCACATTTGTATTCCACCATCCCTACCTCCAATACTGTTTAATTTAAAGGAGCCAGGGGTAATTGACGATAGCTCGCTTAAATATCTTCGTAATCACGCTATGGCATCAAGCATCGTGCATTCAAGCTTCAAACCGTTACGCGAAGACTAAACCGAGCTAAAATGGTACACAATACTTCCTTCGCCACCGACATTTTGTCTATTTCACAAAATCGTGGTTGGAAACGCGATCCAGTAAATATTTTCATCGATGAACTTTCTTCGTACCTATGCGTCGATACGATTTCGTTTAATTCGTTCGTTAAACGCAAGTTTCGCCGCAGCGTCTCGAAATTGCGAATGGAAATCGTCGTTTCCGCGGTTAGGAAAAGCTCGTTCCAGACCGTGTTGCGACCTTAACGTAATTTGTCGTAATAGGCATGTTTATTTGATGTAACACCGAGTCGACTGAGTCACCGAGCTCGCTCTAGATCTCTCGACGAGACGACCTTGCGGGGTAAAACGAAACGCGTCGAGAGCGAGCGCAGTTTCCAGATCGAGATTAAATCGTCGACATTCGTTCGTCGATTTAAACAAGGCTGCATTCCGTCCGTGTAAACCCGTATCGATGAATCGACACCATCGCGACACACTCGAGTATCTCGCTACTCCGATTTGAATACCGGAGATCGATAATTCCACGTGCAAATACATATCGAGGCTCCATTTTCCATTAAGGTGTCAGCGACTCGGTTATTCCGCGTATTCCATGTATTCCAAGCCGTTACGCTACATTATAACATCGTAAGTATGCGTACAACGAGTTCCTGTTTATAGCATTTTATTAAATCGTGTTTAGATTATATAAACGGTTTCAACATAATCATCATAGTCGTGCGCAAATGGCCCGTCTACAAGACACAAAGACACGATCATAGATGTTAGATACGGCTCCGTTTGTACGGCTGACTTTCATTTTCATTGTTGACACTGCATCGCTCGAAGATATCGAAGATATTGTTCTAGATGTTCGTTATCGTAACGTTATCGTATTCCTCTAATTCGCAATGCTTTTTCCTCCTAGGCAGAACAAATGCCTTTGTATACAACAACTACGTCTATAGTCGAAAACATTTACGTACGCTATCGGTTTTCCTTTGATTTTTCACGATATTTCAGTGGGAAATTTAAAGGAAACGCGTACTTTTCGAAAAATTGGGTAAGTTTATCCTATCCAATCGCTAATAGACTCGACGATCCACGAGAGGGGATATCCGAGTGGCACGCTAGAGCCGCGATGTCCCCTCAGAGGGGACGTTCGACTGCAAAGGGTTAACTCTCGATGAATCGTGTGACTGTGTGCGGTAAACGCCTATTAGCGTTCAACGTGTATGTATTTTCAACGCGTGGAAGAGTTTTTCGCGCGTGGGATACCGTCTTGCTTCGAAACGTCGAGGCGACGAGTCGCGCGCCGTTATTGCGCCGCGGCAGTAGAATCAGTACGTACGTAGACAGACGCGCTCGGTCGCGTGACGCGTTAACAGAATTCGTATCGCGACCCGTGCATAAATTACCTACGAGGCGCGTGTGTACACGTTGAACCAGGCTAGAGAAACATTTAGAGCGGCCTCGAGTCGACGGGGGAGGCTCGATACTCACGTTTGTCTCTGTCGGGCCAAGCGCAACACTATTCTCGTCCCTCCGGTTCGTGGTACGAAAGCACGAGGTGACGTCAATGGAAGATCACTAGTTCCGTAACAAACCCGGGATATCCTTGTCGACGGGTTATCCACAATCCTCTTCCCACCAGGTACTGGCCACTACTAAAATGCTCCTCTTGGCTCACGAAAGAAAAAAAGAAATGAAGCTGTCACACGCGCAACACGATTCTCACTGCGATCGCGTTACGTCGGAATATGGGTTACGTCGGTTTACTCCGTATCTCTTATCGCGTTTGTGTACGTGTGTATGTGTACGGTGTATAAAAGTAAAAAAAGAATAAAAACGCGAACGTTGGACGTGAAAGATAAAAACGGAGTAATCCCTCGACTTCTTCGCCTCGCTCCGTTCGTCGCGCACTTTCCGTTTTCCTGTGGCTCGCGACTGTTGTGTGTTGCTCGGTGCAACGTCGGCCGCGTTGTGTCGTGTCGGGTCTTTCGAAGCGCGGCACTGTGCGGAAAGAACTCGTCGTTTGCGCGCGCGCGCCAGTTACAGCACACGCGTATACATATATCGAGGTATATACCACTGCGTATACATATATATTTCTCTCTCTCTATATATATATATATATATATACATATATATATATATACACGTGTTTATATACACACACACGCGCGTGCCCCTGCAACGTCCTTCGTTCGGTGAGCGAGAAAACGTTTTATTCCACGTAACCAGTTACGCGAAAATCCACACGAACAGTCACTCGCGAGTGCCGTTGCGAGACTGGAACGCGGGGAAACATGTGCGGTCTCTTACATACCAGTCTAGGCGAAGGGGAATTCGAGAGTAGGGATAGCCACCGTAGAATCGAGTGGTGGGGGTACGATCCCCACTCCGGAGCCAATGTAGGGGTAATTGGCAAGGACGCGCGACCGCGACGTGTCACGAGCACTCGACGCACTACTTTTTTTTTTTTGTCCTCGCACTTGCTTTTGATGACGACACGTTGATAAGGGAAGCTATCGCCAGCCGCCTTTCGCGGACATTTGGAATGACTGGTCCGGTTGGAAAAAAGTTATTTCGTTTCGAACGATACTCCCCTCACGCGACACGAGTCGCGGGAAACAAGCAGTGGCGCACCCACTTTGGCAGCTGGGGTGCAACTAAAAGTTGACAGGCACGAGCGCGTCACTTTCCACCCTCTACGCTACTTTATTAAGGAAGAAAGGGAGAAATATTATTTAGTTTTTGCGCGGGAAATTACATGAATCTGGACGTAACGAAAATTTATCGTCGTTGTTGTTATTTCTCTTTTCTTTTCATAACGACTTCGTTCGCTTACGTCTTCGCTGCTACTTTATAAGCTGTTGTCGACTGTCGCTCGGTGTTTTCTATAGAACCTATTGTTTCAAGAAACGTTTTGTTATGCGATAGGTACCGCGTACAATAGATCACAGCATTTGCCTAATTAAGTTTTCCGTATTATTCCTTGGGTGTTTTATTGTTACTGTTGTTACTCTAATTTGTTTCGAAAAGAAAAACACACTTTCGCGATATAAAAAGTAACAAAATAAACCGAACCTTGATTTACTTACGCGCGAACGAGTACCCTAACGTACCGGAAGCTCGCTATCTAAAGACGATCGCGACAAATCGCAAGGTACATAGATTCGTATCGCAACTTCCTCGATGATGTAAACACGGGACGCAACCACTATTGTAAACCGTCCGTATTGTTTTAGACATAAATTACTTTTCGTTTTCTGTCCAACGAAAGGGCAGAGATTTAGTCAGTCGTCGCTAGTTTTCGACGTGCTTGAAAAGAGATAGCACGCTGGAATTATTCCACGAGATTCGCGTGTAAACAATTATTGGCATGGCATGGTTCGTTAAAAATCGTTTTCAGCGTATTCGGCTATTTCATTTATTTTAAAAAATACGCTATACGGGAAACGTAATGGACACTAGCTGAAACACGTACATACAGTTGGTACTCGAAAACAATATCATAGGAATGATTTGTCGAATGGCGATGTTTGTTCATGGTTATTTTTTATTTGGATCACTTTTCAAGTATGAATATGTTATCGCTCAGAAGTGGAGTACACGGATACTCGTTAATTTTTGATTGCGAGAATAAATAGAAAGAAACCTGTTACAATTAGATATCATGGCCATTGTAATCCTATTATCGCGCACTTGTCTAACTTCGTGACGAATTAAGTAGTCGCGTCATGGAACATTGTTCAAAATCGAAGGAACATTTATACAGGATATTGCATAACCGATTGCCGTACACATCGATTCGTGAAAGTTACATAAACCTCCGATAAAAATAATGACATTACGTAAAATAATAATGAAAAAGACACGCGGATGTTCGAATGAAAATAACTTGCATTAGCTAGTTTTGCTTTCATACTTGATCTAAATAAAAATACATAGTCGACAATTTTAGCGGAGACGCGTATGCAACCGCTAAACTATCGTTGGAGTGACATTCTAGGTGTGGACAAATTATGACGAAAACATGTTCTATATCGTGTACAGGCCGTCTCCGAAATAGGTACTCTATCTTTAGAATACTATTCTATTTACCTTGAGGGTGAAAACGGATCCCATGGCCATAGACGTAGGAACGTTTCTTAGATGCCTAATATTATACATAACCGAGCTATTTGTTTGGACCCCATTTTCAGCGGGAAGGCCTCGTCGATCGATCGATTGTAGTGTCGCAAAGCTGACGATAAGCCTCGTAGCTCAGGGTCCAAAAAATCTTAATCCAGCGCGTGTCATTTTAAGATCCCTCGTGTTTACCACACGTGGTAACCGATAAAATGTGTCACGCGTGCACAGGATCGTCCTCGATAGGAGGACTCACGCACGAGCGCTCGTTGTAGGCACAGAGGTTCGAGCATGCGGAAGGTTCAGCAGGAAGGAAACATCAGCGCGCTCGCCCACCCTTCTCTCCACCTCCGTCACTCTTCCTTTCGCGCGTACCTTTTAAAGGTTCCATGGAAAGCAGCACGTGCACGGTAAATAAAGGCCAGGGCGCATCCCTACTGGCCGTCGACTCCCTTCTGTACCGCGTTTAACGACTCGCGTCGGCCATCGCGCCCGTTATCTGCGGTTTCTGGTGTCTTGCGTCGCTTCTTACCCTTCAGCTTGTCATCCTCTCGTCGAAGACCTTGCTCTTTCTTCGTCCTCCCCTTTTGTTCGTGCTTCATTGAATACGGGTTAGTTTCTTCGCGGTGTTATCGATCCCTCGACCCGTTTGTTCTTCCCTCTTATCGCGCTGGCCCTTCTTATCAATTTTTCTTGTCCTACCACTGGCTTCTCTAGCCTTATCTCTGATCTAGTTTACACGCGTATCGCGTTCAATGGTCCCATTGCGGGTCGAATAAATCTGCGTTAACGATACTTTAATCGTTTTCACGACGACACCCGATCCTCCTCGTCGTACCAGAAAAGAATAATCGAGGGATGCAACGTCACGGCTAGCAATTCTCCCACCGTCGTAGCAGCATTTTACGCAGCAACCGTCGGAATTGCTCTCAGCTTCCTCGCCTGTGTCTTCAAGCGGTTAAATATAACATTTCCTCGCGCTCCGCGTCGGGCCTCTCCCTTCCGGTTTCCTCGCGGCTCCTCCACCCGCGTCCAGGACGCTCGAGCGTGGTGCGGACTCGCTCGGTTTTCCTTTCCTTTGTTGCATCAGTAAACAGGTTAGCCAATTTTTCTGGCGCAGGAAGCAGGAACGTGAGAGAAGCACTGGAATAAGAATGTTCGCGACGTGGCGTCGAGGGGGCGAGGGATGGCTATCTTTAGGTGTGCAACTGTTACGCGCACACGAACGTCGGACCGTGCAACAACCGGCGGACAGAGCCGCACACAAACGCGTACGTGCCGTGCATATTGTTCGAGCAGGTTTTTCGACCGAGATTAAGAGCGAGCACGTACACCTCGGGACTCTGTATACGAGTCCGGCTAAGTATGCCAAGGATTACCGGTATGAACTTTTACGTATACCCTACGAATGCAATAATCCGATAATGCGCGCCTGCGAGCAGGAAACGACGTTTCAGCGACACTCGCCGCGACAGATTAACGAGAATAGTTGGAAAGTCGTTGTTATCGGTTGTGCGACGAGCACGAAGTTCACCAGCGACTGGGGTGTACGATGGAAGCAATCGAAGGATCGCGCATCCGGACGATTTGATTTTAATTGTCCTTTCGTCTATTTGGAGGTTTAGTTGCTATCTCTCCGAGGGAACAAAGCGCACGTTTTTGTTTTTCAGGCTTGTATACATAAACAATCAGAGCCTGACGAAAGCAGTGTTTGGGGGAAAAAGATTCACGAAACAGCATCTCGTTGCAACGCGCGAGTAAGAAACGAACCGAGAATCGAAGTAGAAGTCGAAGGTAAACCAACCGCGAGTCGTGGCTGTATCAACGAGCAGACGAGACGTTTCTGACGCCAACAACAAGAAACAGGAAGGAACCGTACTTCCGTGTAATTACAATTACAGCAAAGAAGTTATCGATCGCAGGGGCGTGCGTGCCAGTCTACATGAAATTTATGCACGGTCCGGAGCTCCCGATAAATCGTGGCTTGATTAACAGCCGCTGATAACCAGCTCTGATAATCGTGTTTGTCCTTTGCCGAAGGCGCCGCGGCACCCGCGTTTCTATTTTCCCGTGCACGGTGCTTCGTGGTCACGGCCAACCGACTGAAAACACTTGTATTAGTACTAGCTCGCTCGGCCGTCGTTATTTTGCGTAACGAGCTAACGCAGTGTTTCTCAAACTTCGCCACGTACCTCTCCAGCGACGGAGAACTTTTGATAAACAATTGACTCAATTGAATTATCGTCTCGTTAAAGTAGCGTGTTTATGTTTCGATCATGATCGATGATTTCGCGTACGTTGTTTTAACTTCGATTGTTTTGTGTGCTGCTTGCAAAGTGCACGTCAATAAATAAAACGAATGCACTAAATGTATGCTTGCATTCTTAACTTCGTTTCGAGACTTTCGGTTTGAGAAACTCTGAGCTAATGTTCCAACGCCTCCGGTTTACGAGCAACCTCGCGGGACGTGCGCAGGCAAAATTCAACGCGAGATATCGCGCAATTTTCAAAAGAACCTATAATTCGTCGTATCATGCAAATGGTATATTTCACTCGGAATTGCATTCCAACAGTTATGGTTCTTGCTCGAGCCACGTGGGTTTTGCATGTTTGACGCGTTAGAAAATATAGCGCTGTGCATTGAAAATGTTTTTTAAAGTGAACAGGAGCTGTTACGTCACCTATTCGGTCCACACATTTCTTCGAGAAGTAAGGTAACGGATGAGAAATGAACGCTTACCTGGAACAGAAAGAAAACGCTTTCGTTACTCGCGTTACAAAAAAGTACACAGCTGCTACGAGAATATTAATGTAACAGAAACGAACGGGGAACGAAACAAACGTGTCAAAGTCAGACGAGAGTAAACTGACGAAAGAAGTAAGATTAATTCGTCGTATGTATAACCGATTTCTTCTGTGACCACCCCAGATCCCTGGCGGAGCTGGTTCGAGTTAGAGCGAATACAATTGCGCGATTTCGCGTGTATTCTCAAATACACGAGAGCAAAAAATACTACGAAAATAGAACGTGATCCAAACAACCTGGTATTCGTAAGATTTTTAAGAATACTTTGCTCGAGAAATAGCTACTTTCTTATCTCGATTCGTTTCTCGACCGTATACATAGCATTTTTTTCAACGATTCTCTGAGCTACAGTAATTAACTTCTTGTACAGTAAATATTTTCTATTTTCCTTCTAATCTTGTACGGTAGAATGGTCAGGTGTTTTCCTCCGCAGCTGATAGATTCGATAAGTTTATCGTCTCCACTTGTTAAAAAGCTTATCAATTTTCTAGAATCGCGCGATAAACGATGGGATTTCTGTCTGGAATGGAAATGGCGATAGAAATGTCGATGTATATCGCTCAATACTGTGGAAGAATTAATCAAATACTCGACGCGGCTGTTTCGTAGAAAATGCTTTGCGTGCGTGTAGTTTCGCTTACCCAATCGCGAAACATTTCACAGATAGTATAAAAAGTGACCAATTCGTTCCGATTAGAACAATCATCTCCACATGGCCACATTCCAACGAAGAATCGTTTTCGTTAAGAATATAAAAGCACGCCGACATAGTCTACGCGTGAAACTACGGGCACGGTATCTAAACCGAATAGCGACAAAAGTGTAAAACACAGAGACCTTTTTGTGTTTCCTTTGCGCTACATATTTGTTCACGTCATCCCAGTGATAAACACGTTCTGAAAGCTCTGAGCCCGCAGCCGTGCATTCAAAGAATACGTTCCCAAAGTTCGAATGTCTGGCTACAGTTACGAGCCCGTGTAGCTCGGTCAGATGACAGGTTTTCAGAATGCCTGCTGAGAATATTAATGTTCGAGAACAATGACACAATTTTACGGTTTTTTAGTTGCTTACGGAGGCCCGTCGAGAGTATCGTCAGCAGCGTACTTTCGCTATTTCGGAGCCGAGTGCAGTTTCGTAATTCGCTCTATGAGCGAATTTAGCCTTTACCTCCAACATAGAGAATCAAAATTTCGCGTGCTGTTTGTTTACAGAGGCTATATATGGCGCACGAGCAGGGAATGGCTAGTCTATGGCGTAATTTAGAGCATGGAACGCCGAGCGCTGCCATTCACGAAGAAGTGGATCTGGTTTAAGGCGGATCCGCAGCGAACCAGAGCGACGGCGTACGTACGCGTAGCCGTCGAGTGAACCGGTTCACTCGATTTCATTCATTTGACGGA